GAAGATCGCTGGGCTCATAACTCAGAGGTCGCACGATCGAAACGTGCCGGTGCTATGTTTTTGTTGTCGCTCTGTTGGTGAGCTGAGTGGTGACTTGGCCACTTGCTTTGGTACAGATAATTCAGAAGGTGTAATAAAGAACTTTACTTTATTTTATACTTGGCAATGGAGGTAGAGGATTCAGCCGTTTTGATCGTATTGTAGATAGTGCTAAAGCCGGATTGACTTCTTGACCAAGTTTGATACTGACGGGCATAACCTCAGTACAGAGAAAGACAACAAATTCTTTCAGCCCAGATATAATGGGCAAGTTATGGTCACATTTAGCCATGAAACTTTGAAGATCTGCCACAAGTGACGATAAGTCTGTGGAAGTGGTTAACACAAGTCAAAGAGTATATGATGCAGACCATTTCCAATAAAATGTTCAATTGACACGCGATTGAGGTTATTCATTTCATTCTGAAGATACAAATCGGAGCTTTGCGCACTCCAACTTGCACGTTCAGTGTCTCCACTGACGGGAGTATTCAGTTTTAACGGTACAGCCGATCTGGCGCGCTGATATCGATTTCGATCCTTGTAATCGTTCAGAAACATTTTCAAGACCTCGGTAGTATGGCGCATTATTGAAATAAGTGTTCTTAACATCCGGGACTGGGGTGAGGTTATGGGCTCCATCAAATCAATACTTGAGTCCGTTGGGATCAAAGTAGCCACATCTCTGTTGTCAAGTAGTTTCATACAAAACGGAATCAATCTCCAGTTTCGCGGTTCTCCCATAGAATTTTCCAAATAATGTGATGATTGATCCAAGAGTGCTGTGGAATATGGACACGATGCGTTCGCAGATTCCGAGCTTATAAATAATGCCAATGACTTAATGCTTGCTATTGATTGATTGTCGCTCTCTCTTTCTTTAATTTCATGTACTAGACATGTATTCAGCATACGAGACTGTTCCAAGATCCGGATCGAGAATGATACTTCACAGAATATTCGTGCAAGCTCCAAATAAGACCGGTTCGTTCGATTCTCTTGCAATACTTTAGTCGACTTTTCAACAGTTTGTATGATAAAGTCAAGTCCGTCACAAACAAAATGAGAAGATAGAAGGGTATCTACTGAAGCTAAGAGAGTTTTGTCTTCTGAATTGAATTCGAACTGTATGAGACTTTGTGACGCTTTCGTTATTTTCAAAGCCTAACAGGCGATGTAAGCACATTAAAAGATACGCAGATATCCTTACCCTGACTTTAAGCTCCAATACACATTCATATAAACTCCGAATGATTGTATGATAAAGTGGATGTTTCGTGACAGTTTGGGAACGTAAAGTCCTACAATTAATCAATAAATATAACCGACACACTTGTTGGGAACATACATAAGCTTCAATATTTTCGAGGCGTAAAAAATATCGTTTCTTTGTTGTAGTAGGTCTATTGCAGGATTGATTGACTCTTGAAGTGACCGGAGGATTGTTGTCTTCTCCGTTACATTGTCAAAGAAGACCCGGGGATTCAGAGACGGCTTTGTCCCTCGAATATAAGTACAATAAGCTGATAGGAGAAGAGTTTCATTCCCGGACCTGGTTGATAAATTAACACTCTCATTCAAGAAAGATTGAGCAACATACAGGTGGAATCCAAGAGATAGCAGTAACCAAAATATTGACCTAGTGTAATCACACAAGCGATCATTAAGAATGGTATGAGCCAGAATGTACAGAGTATCGGCAACTGTCCATCCGTTCCACTTCAGCGACGTCAACATCGTCATAACCTCCAAGTCATTCGCAGAATGCAACAGCATCCCGAATATAATTTTCAAAGTTTTTTCAAGCGCCGTATGTGTCCCTTCACTCATGACTCCATCGTTGGATGAAGTTTCTGAGTGGATGACGTCGAAACATCGAAGAATCACGTTGGAGGGATGACAAGCAAGAATTGACACGTTTGCCTGCGACAAAGGCGCGATTTAGAACATTAATCCTGGCATGTAGTGAAGCCCTTACTGCGTTCAAGTTGAAATCTTGATCTTCTTTGTCCATCAAGCCAAAGACCTGAAATGGAGTCGCTATGTGAAGCTCACCGTCAGCGTTTGGGACGAATAATGAGACTATGTGCAGAATATTCTTGGTTATCTGGTGTTGACGTCAGTTAAGAGGGGAGTCTTCTTCAATCACCCACATTTCCTCTCATGGACGAGGTCATTGAAGAAGATATAGTACGATTGAGTGTGTAACATAGGATTTCAATAGCATCGACTTGTTCGTTCATGAGCAGGTTTTGTTGGACTTCATTCAGTTGACATCTGTTTGTTGTCAGTGAGCTCGATAGACAGCGCTGCAACTTAACTCGATTGCTATCTGATCTGTAAAAAGAATCCAATCTGTCGGATTAGTTGCATCTTCAAGGTCGAAGAGTAGTTGAAGGACAGTGTCCATCACCGAAAGAAGACAATTTGAACCAAGATTACCGCGAGAACACTCAGAGTTCATACAAGTCCTCAATATTTCCTTTACGCAAAATAAACTTAATTATTCTTGTCCTATTGTCGACAGTGGGAACAAGTGAATAAGGGTTTCCTCATGAATAGTAAAATATCAGTGGAACTTCAGTACATCCTTATAACCAAAACCTCGAATTCTCTACGAGCCTCTTAAATAACTAATTTTAATTTAAGTAGAAGAAGAAATGAAAAGAAAATTGTCTCTAACAAAGAAACCTGGTCAATCCTCTTCGAATCAAGAACGTAGCCCCACCGATAAACGACCCAACTGTTTCAGCTGTATTAATATTGTCGTTGCTCGCCAAAGATGATGAACACGGCGTCCTTCCCAAAGGAGCCACCCCTTCCGCCCATTGGTGCCACAAACAGTCGCGCCTCAATAGCAGGAGGCCAAATCCGACGCGCCTCGTCAGTCCAACAATCCCATAATAATAGCCACGGAAACGGGCCATCGTCCATCCTCCCCAACCTACCTCAACAATCACAATCTGGTGTGATTGACGACTCTCAATTAACTGGAAAACTCATCAACGTGGAGGCGCAGAGAATCATGAGTGTACTGCAGGAGGCGCAGAGGAAAGTTATGGTGATTGGGATGTTGCCTGATGAGGTAGATCGTCGCGTGTCAACTGTCTTTGCGGCTGAGACTGTCGCGTATATCGGTGTAAGTGATCGATCTTCACTCATATTATCAGTGTTAGTAAACACATAACTGCAATAGGAATATAAGTTATTGGAAGCAAAGTATAGGAATTTAGTCGAAGGTCGAGCTCCTGACGTACGTTGCTTAAAATACACTTCTGCTGCGATTTTATGCCAATTTCACGTTTATTCTAGGCTGAAGTCAAAGAGACCGCGAAACAGCTCCGTATTAGCACAAGGACTGTTTGTCGTCACTTTCTCCAAAACCCACCCTTGATTGCCAAATTGAGATACCTCAAGTCAACGAAACCAAACAATATTTTGCAGTTTGAGGGGCTTTTGCAGGAAGTAAAGGTTCTTGTTTATGAGCGACTCAAGACAAGCGTGGAGGAAGAGAAAGCTAAACAAGATCAGTTGAGCGTCATTATTGCAAAAGAACAGAAGGTGACATTAGTTCATTGATTTTCATGAGTTTTATTGACATAACGTATAGACAAGTAATGAGGTGAGACTTCTAAAGGAAGAGTTGGAAAAGGCCAAGAAAGAGCGATCAGCAGAAGTCAGTAAGCGCAACGAAACTATTCGAAGGCTGAAAGGTTGTAATCTTGTGATGAAAAACGTTCCTGACTTCTTAATCAGAGGAGCTTCGAGACATAAAGCAACAAGCTGAAGACACAACTAAAAGATTGGAGTCTCGTTCGAAGCAAAAGGAAGACCAAGAACTTCAACTAGCTAAAGACAAGGTCAGTCAGTCGAATTTCTACCATAAAACTATTGGAGATCTAAACCAATTACAAGGAAATCAACATGAAAGCAGAGATAGCAAAGCTCACCGAAGAACTGCAAGATATGATCAAGAAGGACCGTGAAGAAGAAGCCTTGCTCCGTAAGAAAAAGTTCAAAGTGGAGAGTGAAGTCGAAAACTGGATTCACAAATACGATCAAGACATGTCTGAGAAGCAGAATGAGTTGGAAGATATCACTGTAAGCACCTCTTGCACAATACTCAACACAAAGTAAGTATTGACCTCCTATTAACGTTCAGACAATCTACACCGAAGAGAAGGCCCAACTAGACGAGCTCCAAGCCCGATACAATGAACTTCAAAAGGAGTACGACAGGATCATGGAGGAACGTCGTATCAAACAAGAGGAGCAAATTGCTTACCAAAAGAAAATGAAGCATATGCACGAAGCAGCGACATTAATTCAAGCCATCTTTCGTGGATGGAAAGCTCGTAGAGATCTTAAGAAGAAGGCGAGTGGAAAAGGTACAGCAAAAGGAAAGAAAGGAGGAAAAGGAGGGAAGAAGAAGAAATAGAGTTGAAGCAGTAAACAGTTTTCTTTGTTCACTTCCCCTTTTTTGACTGAACTGAATTTAAGATACGAAAATTCACACAAAGCGAAAAAAGAAAGTTTGAAGCAAAGAACAACAGAGTGGAAGAAGCGGTTGCGGCATATGAACTAGTGAAAAGTAGGAGAGAAAGAGAAAATGTTCTCGCCCAGGTTCGAACTGGGGACCACCAGTGTGTTAGACTGGTGACTTCACAGAATATTCGTGCAAGCTCCAAATAAGACCGGTTCGTTCGATTCTCTTGTAATACTTTAGTCGACTTTTCAACAGTTTGTATGATAAAGTCAAGTCCGTCACAAACAAAATGAGAAGATAGAAGGGTATCTACTGAAGCTAAGAGAGTTTTGTCTTCTGAATTGAATTCGAACTGTACGAGACTTTGTGACGCTTTCGTTATTTTCAAAGCCTAACAGGCGATGTAAGCACATTAAAAGATACGGAGATATCCTTACCCTGACTTTAAGCTCCAATACACATTCATATAAACTCCGAATGATTGTATGATAAAGTGGATGTTTCGTGACAGTTTGGGAACGTAAAGTCCTACAATTAATCAATAAATATAACCGACACACTTGTTGGGAACATACATAAGCTTCAATATTTTTGAGGCGTAAAAAATATCGTTTCTTTGTTGTAGTAGGTCTATTGCAGGATTGATTGACTCTTGAAGTGACCGGAGGATTGTTGTCTTCTCCGTTACATTGTCAAAGAAGACCCGGGGATTCAGAGACGGCTTTGTCCCTCGAATATAAGTACAATAAGCTGATAGGAGAAGAGTTTCATTCCCGGACCTGGTTGATAAATTAACACTCTCATTCAGGAAAGATTGAGCAACATACAGGTGGAATCCAAGAGATAGCAGTAACCAAAATATTGACCTAGTGTAATCACACAAGCGATCATTAAGAATGGTATGAGCCAGAATGTACAGAGTATCGGCAACTGTCCATCCGTTCCACTTCAGCGACGTCAACATTGTCATAACCTCCGAGTCATTCACAGAATGCAACAACATCCCGAATATAATTTTTAAAGTTTTCGCGAGCGCCGTATGTGTCCCTTCAGTCATGACTCCATCGTCGGATGAAGTTTCCGAGTGGATGACGTCGAAACATCGAAGAATCACGTTGGAGGGATGACAAGCAAGAATTGACGCGTTTGCCTGCGACAAAGGCGCGATTTAGAACATTTATCCTGGCATGAAGTGAAGCCCTTACTGCGTTCAAGTTGAAATCTTGATCTTCTTTGTCCATCAAGCCAAAGACCTGAAATGGAGTCGCTATGTGAAGCTCAGCGTCAGTGTTTGGGACGAATAATGAGACTATGTGCAGAATATTCTTGGTTATCTGGTGTTGACGTCAGTTAAGAGGGTAGTCTTCTTCAATCACCCACATTTCCTCTCATAGACGAGGTCATTGAAGAAGATATAGTGCGATCGAGTGTGTAACATAGGATTTCAATAGCATCGACTTGTTCGTTCATGAGCAGGTTTTGTTGGACTTCATTCAGTTGACATCTGTTTGTTGTCAGTGAGCTCGATAGACAGCGCTGCAACTTAACTCGATTGCTATCTGATCTGTAAAAAGAATCCAATCTGTCGGATTAGTTGCATCTTCAAGGTCGAGGAGTAGTTGAAGGACAGTGTCCATCACAGAAAGAAGACAATTCGAACCAAGATTACCGCGAGAACATTCAGAATACATACAAGTGCTCAATATTTCCTTTACGCAAAATAAACTTAATTATTCTTGTCCTATTGTCGACAGTGGGAACAAGTGAATAAGGGGTTTCTCATGAAGTAAAATATCAGTGGAACTTCAGTACATCCCTATAACCAAAACCTCGGATTCTCTACGAGCCTCTTAAATAACTAATTTTAATTTAAGTAGAAGGAGAAATGGAAAGAAAATTGTCTCTAACAAAGAAACCTGGTCAATCCTCTTCGAATCAAGAACGTAGCCCCACCGATAAACAACCCAACTGTTTCAGCTGTATCAATATTGTCATTGCTCGCCAAAGATGATGAACACGGCGTCCTTCCCAAAGGAGCCACCCCTTCCGCCCATTGGTGCCACAAACAGTCGCGCCTCAATAGCAGGAGGTCAAATCCGACGCGCCTCGTCAGTCCAACAATCCCATAATAATAGCCACGGAAACGGGCCATCGTCCATCCTCCCCAACCTACCTCAACAATCACAATCTGGTGTGATTGACGACTCTCAATTAACTGGAAAACTCATCAACGTGGAGGCGCAGAGAATCATGAGTGTACTGCAGGAGGCGCAGAGGAAAGTCATGGTGATTGGGATGTTGCCTGATGAGGTAGATCGTCGCGTGTCAACGGTCTTTGCGGCTGAGACTGTCGCGTATATCGGTGTAAGTGATCGATCTTCACTCATATTATCAGTGTTAGTAAACGCATAACTGCAATAGGAATATAAGTTATTGGAAGCAAAGTATAGGAATTTAGTCGAAGGTCGAGCTCCTGACGTACGTTGCTTAAAATACATTTCTGCAGCGATTTGATGCCAAAATGTACGTTTAATCTAGGCGGAAGTCAAGGAGACCGCGAAACAGCTCCGTATTAGCACAAGGACTGTTTGTCGTCACTTTCTCCAAAACCCACCCTTGATTGCCAAATTGAGATACCTCAAGTCAACGAAACCAAACAATATTTTGCAGTTTGAGGGGCTTTTGCAGGAAGTAAAGGTTCTTGTTTACGAACGACTCAAGACGAGTGTGGAGGAAGAGAAAGCAAAACAAGATCAATTGAGCGTTATTATAGCAAAAGAGCAGAAGGTGACATGATTTCATTGATTTTCATGGGTTTTATTGACATGACGACTAGACAAGTAATGAGGTGAGACTTCTAAAGGAAGAGTTGGAAAAGGCCAAGAAAGAGCGATCAGCAGAAGTCAGTAAGCGCAACGAAACTATTCGAAGGCTGAAAGGTTGTAATCTTGTGATGAAAAACGTTCCTGACTTCTTAATCAGAGGAGCTTCGAGACATAAAGCAACAAGCTGAAGACACAACTAAAAGATTGGAGTCTCGTTCGAAGCAAAAGGAAGACCAAGAACTTCAACTAGCTAAAGACAAGGTCAGTCAGTGGAATTTCTACCATAAAACTATTGGAGATCTAAACCAATTACAAGGAAATCAACATGAAAGCAGAGATAGCAAAGCTCACCGAAGAACTGCAAGATATGATCAAGAAGGACCGTGAAGAAGAAGCCTTGCTCCGTAAGAAAAAGTTCAAAGTGGAGAGTGAAGTCGAAAACTGGATTCACAAATACGATCAAGACATGTCTGAGAAGCAGAATGAGTTGGAAGATATCACTGTAAGCACCTCTTGCACAATACTCAACACAAAGTAAGTATTGACCTCCTATTAACGCTCAGACAATCTACACCGAAGAGAAGGCCCAACTAGACGAGCTCCAAGCCCGATACAATGAACTTCAAAAGGAGTACGACAGGATCATGGAGGAACGTCGTATCAAACAAGAGGAGCAAATTGCTTACCAGAAGAAAATGAAGCATATGCACGAAGCAGCGACGTTGATTCAAGCCATCTTTCGTGGATGGAAAGCTCGTAGAGATCTTAAGAAGAAGGCGAGTGGAAAAGGTACAGCAAAAGGAAAGAAAGGAGGAAAAGGAGGGAAGAAGAAGAAATAGAGTTAAAGCAGTAAACAGTTTTCTTTGTTCACTTCCCCTTTTTTTGACTGAACTGAATTTAAGATACGAAAATTCACACAAAGCGAAAAAAGAAAGTTTGCAGCAAAGAACAACAGAGTGCAAGAAGCGGTTGCGGCATGAACTAGTGAAGAAGAAAGAAGAATAAAGTAGGAGAGAAAGAGAAAATGTTCTCGCCCAGGTTCGAACTGGGGACCACCAGTGTGTTAGACTGGTG